TTTGATCGATGAACTCTCAAGGATACCCTATGAATATATTTCAAACTTGGATCCCTGTTCCTTGAAGGCCCCAGGATGACATTTTTAAAAGTGTCTTTATTCATGTTTGAAACAGAGGAATCACAAGCATATCCTAACCTTGAGGTCCCTTTATTTGTGTGACACTTGCTCATGATAGAACTGTGGGAATGGGATATCATATATATCGAACATTATCATTGCCGTTACACTGTAACAGCATAATAAACTGCTTGAACTTCTGTTGCACCATTTCCCGGGTCACAGATGTAATATAAGATGGTATTCAACTCGAAGTAAACCTATTGAAATTAATGGACTTAACTTAGTCATGTTCTTTAATTTCAGTGGAGCAGCTGTGTGTAAGATTTAGTGGAATAGCATCTTAGGTTTTCAGCTAGATATTTTTCAAACAGATATTTCTTTAAAAAACCCACTATTGATATTTTTATTATTATGATAATTTTCAAAAGCTTACTTTTAACAATAAAGGTTAGATTTGAATATTTTTAAAATAATGCTGTTCCGTTTCAGGCGATCTGGATTTCATGTTGTTTACCTGTTAATGAAGTGAGAGGAAAGTTTGCCACCCAAATATTTTGCAGTAATTTACAGATGAGTTGAATATTTGATGCCCAATTAATATTTCATCCTGCATTTTTTATTCTTTAACATCCAGTACAGTTCCCCATGTTACCCGGTTAAGCAGCTGTGACTCTGTCACATTCTATGAAGCAACTTCTATAAATCCTTTCATCTGTTCACCCACAGCAAGCTGAAAATTATCTGCTTCCTGCATTTTGTGTCTAGAGGCTATGTTTAAAAAATAATATGCCTTTTCGCTACCATTAAATAGATCAATTTCTAACACCAGGGCCTTTTTTGCATGTCAAAGTCTTATCACCTAAGAAGAGGTTATGTGCTCTGAATACTACTGACTTCCGAGGTTCATGGCCATCTTCTCCTGCCGGGCCTATAGAACAGCATAAGGCTAAAAGCTTTTTTGACTCTGATTTATTGTCTAAATTTCTTCCACAGGGTCTTTCACAGGTCTCTCTTGCATCTCATACACAGCAATGCCTCTTTAGCTCATTTCTCTGGGAATAAGTTGTGCTGGCATTTTATGATATGCCTAGGTATGCAGAGCTGAACAAAGGCTTTCCAGGGACTCAGTCTCGAACAGATTTTTTTAAAACAAAAAACAAACCAGCAACTGTTGGGGTCATCTTTGTTTCCAAAGCCCATAAAGTATCTGTAGATTACCAAGGGTTTATTTATAAAACAAGATTCAGCAGTTATCTCTGGGGTTATTATTCTAAGGTTATTGTCTTCAGATAAAAACCCTGTCTACAGAATTTTCAGAGAAAGGAAATTTCAACTGCACATAACTAGCTTGCCTATATATGGGGAATTTATGGAGTCTGTAGAACTCTGTGGTTTCTATAGATAAAACACATCGTTTTAATTATGTTGTGGTTGGAGTCAGACCTGCTGCTCTCTGAATGGAAGGGCTCCTTCCATTCTGAACAGTGAGCTGCATCAAGCAGAGGTGCCCAAAATGGACACTCCTGCAGGTGAAAGAAGAGAGGTTAGTTTTGCCGATTCCCCTTTCCCTTTGTAGCCCCCCATTGGCACTTCCCATGCTGGTCCTCCAAGCACCCAGACCAGATTTTTGAAGGCTTTAGGCTCTCCATGGAACTTATCATTAAAAGATATAAAGAATTAATGATTTAAGATGACAAAGATTGACAGTTATGGAGTCATGGAAAGGGACACCAAGTTAAAATGGACATCCTCAGGACCTGTGGCAAGAGACTCTTCAGGCCAACAAAATAAGCCAATGTTAGTGTGGAGACCCTACAATCTTTAAAGACAGGGGATGGCACCTAAGCAATGGGTGGACAATCTAGAATTAGCAGCAGGGCTTCTGTGGATTCAGGAAGCAAACAACAGAAAGCAATGAAGAGAACTTGAAGATGTGTATCCCAAATATGGATGTGAGATGCTACAAAAAAAGACGAATGTGGAGTTCCACACTGCACAATTCTGGATCCTAACCATGCCCTCGGTTTTCTGGAATTTAAGGTTGAATATAAGGTTGTATTCAACTAATGTTTAGTCAGAATAAACCCATTAAAATGAATGAACTTAAGTTAATCCTGTCCATTAATTGTGATAGGTCTCCTCTGAGTAAACATTAGTTGAACACAACCCTTACTAAATAATAAATACAATTTTACCACTTTCTTACAACTCCATCAAGGTGGTATATAGGAAACAGAAAATGCAATCATTAACTCTGGCTGATCTAATATTGGTCCTGGATTCATTTATACCTAACTGGGACCTTAGACAGGATCAGTCACATTTACTGATTGCATAATATGTTTTCTGTAGGGCAGCCCCTAAAGAATTTGAAACTTCAGTATATCCAGGGACTACTTCTGGGGGGGAAACGGAAATGGATCTGTTTTGTCAGGAGACCTACAAGCTTAAATGGGATTCCACCCCCTACCCAATCTCCAATAACCTGTCATGGGGATTTCGGTTGCAGAACTCTTCACAGCAATTTCCTTGATACCTCAGCAGTCATACTGTGTATCTAGGCTGCCCTCCAATTTTTTCCCCTCACCTCTTCCACATGGGATTTGAATTTTCTGCCTGTTATCCCTCCTTTCTTTCTCAATCTTATACTGTGTACCAAATCACTCAATGCCATTACCTTACAAGTACGACTTTACCAATGATTGAGGCCCTGAACCAAGGCTCAGAGGACCCAATCCTAATTAAATCTGTGTCTTCTCAACCATGAATCTTAATGATAGCAGAGATAAAAAGAGATTCGGAACAAAGGTGCCACAGTTGTTGTTGTTGTTGTTTATATTGTAGCCCCTGTGCTTTTAACGTAGCATGTTATACCAAAATCCAAGTGCAGATTTCCCCTCTTTTTTCCCAAAGCCAGGGAAAATAGCCTATTGGTTCTTATGTAGTAAAATTTTGTTATATTAAAAACTGTGATACATTTTCTGCATAAGTGTCCTTGAACTGCAAATATACTCAACCAAATATTGATTCAGTCAATAAAACCTGGCAGTTAATGCACAAAAATGTTGCAAAATTATCAAATATGTCTGTTGATAGGTAGGAAAGTAGTATTACATTTCTTTAGATGAGACTTTTTACTTGTATATTCATTGGTTCATTGTTCTCAAAGTAATTTAGCTACAGTTTTGGTAATGAACTTACTTGTTTCCAATGATAAAAGTGAAATATTCAGATAATCTTCCAGAATACAAAGTATTTATAGGATTAATCAACTCTTTCCAGCAATCTCAATGGAAGTTACAAACTAGTAATATATGGCTTGCGGTTTCAATTTATTCACATTTTTGTTTCTGAGGCGGTCAGGATGAGAGGGCACTTTGTATTAGATAAACATATGAAGTGAGCATAGTTTTATTTGCTGCCCAACTAGTATGTTTGCTTTTAATGCATTTTTATCGTATTGGAATCTATTGGTGGGTCTCTGGGCCACAATAAAGAGTTCAGTTGAATTGGAAGAAATTTCCTCACAGATAGAATTCATCAGAGTAGTGTTACCCCACTGAAGCTCCTTCCAAAAGAACTAAAGGTATCCCTTGAAACATGCAAGAGAAAATGTCCTTAAGTTCTGCAAATATTTGGCCTGAAAGTTAACAGAGGTAGGGAAAATGCCAAATAGGGGCAGGTCTTGTTGGCTACTGACAGCAAATGTTTAAAGTCCATATTTGTTATACACTGACTAATACAAGATCTACCTTTGCCAGGACCAAATGTGTGGTGGTGAGGGGAACTATGATGCACAAATACAAATATAACTTCTTAATGTCAAGAATTGCCTTCCATGATTTTCTTTAATACTAAACATGAATGAGTGGCTATTAGTTTGGTCATGCTATTACTGATACATAATATAAGGGTTTTGCCTTAAGCCTACCAGCCCAATATTACATGATTAGCTTAGGGAAATGTTTGGATTTTCAGAGCAAATAAGATTCCTGCATAGGAGAGAAAAAAAATAACTGAAGGAAGAAAACTAATTAACTTTCTGCCTTTTTCTTAAAATTCTAAGAAAAAAAATTGGTGTTGAAAGGTTGTTGTATACTGTTGAATTCTCTGATGTATCAGTTTCCTGTGAGTGATCTGTTTCTGAAATGTCTTAGGAACTTTTAACTTCTACTTTGATTGGGTTGTGTCTGAATTTGTCAATTTATTTTACAATGGTGTATGACTCTGCCTAGTTATGCTTCTAAAACAGAAAAAAATGGTCATAGGTTGGATAATAAGCATTTGGGGTTCTGTTTTGTTTTTCAGTTGTAAATGTTTAAACCCAAACTCCATGAACTGGAGCTCAAATCTCAATAATAATAATAATCTCTTGTAAATATACTAGAAAGTCTCTCTCTCTCTCTCTCTCTCTCTCTCTTTGCTACACAAAATTATTGCCTTCAGTTTTGCATTTTGAAGGCACTAAGAAGCATCCCATAAGCTTCAAAGGAGTCAAGATCATGCAGAGCAGTTCTAAAGTGTCATTCGAATGCACCACTCATAGAATATTTTTAAATGTTTCACCTCTTTGAGATGCAGTGAAGTGTTCCCCTTTAGAATTATTCACTCTAAACACAATAACACAATAAGACTAGCTGAAGTATCCCCATTGTCTATATTTCCACTTTAAAATCTTTTTTTAAAAAAAATAATAAAAAAAGCTTTGTGGTTCACATTAGCTTATTCATTTTCATTGAAACGTGCTAAATTCTGGTCATAAATATCAAGTACAGTAAGTATATATCTAGGAGTCAAACAATCAGAATTTGTTTTAGATAGTTGATGTGTGCAAATCAATCTTGTATCACGTTCCTAATTTTAGAAACTGATGTGCCATTGGGTGATATTTTCATACTCATCTGTGTCTTCTGTTCTTTTCCTCTTACATGCTGCAGTTGCAAACATACTGTGGAGAGAGGAAGGTACTAATATAATTTTCTCCCCATCCTGTAGTAATTTTCTTGTCTGATGTACATATTAAATTTATAGATAGACAATAGCTATAGCAATTATGTTTTAATTATGCATTCATTCTTCACAAATAGATCTTTGCTTCTAATTCTGTTATACGGTGTGTCATTGTCAAGGATAGAAAAAACCCCTAATTATTATTTGGGGTGGGGATGGTTGCAGTATCTGTAAATGTTTATCTTTTCCTTCTCTATTTGTACCTAACAATAACCCATGTTTCTAAAAGGCTTACGGGCATATCTGAGTTACAGTTAAAACTCCCTGAGGGGACTGTGCCCTTAACTTGTCCTGTTGCTGTCATAAATCATTTGGCCAATCAGCTTATCTTCAGTCAGAATGTTGACCCAGGAATGTGAATCATTCTTATTTTGCCAAGAGTGCTATCTAGTGAAGCTCCCAGAGTAACAGAGAAGTGCTGTTATCTGATTACTTGGTGAGACAAAACTAAAAAGCTTTAAAACTTGGGAAGCTTGTGTGGGGTAAGAGAGTGAAGGTTGGAGTTTACCAAAACCTACTGCTTGTGATATAGAATATTAGATTACTGCCAGAAGTTTTAATTGTATTTATTAATTTTATACCCTGCCCTTCCTCCCAAAGGAGCTCAAAAGACACTATGACTCAAGTGATAGGCAAATATCCTTTAGCTGTTCTTTTCTTTTCTTTTTGCTTTTCATTTCTTTCTTTCTTTCTGGTGATAAGCAAATGTCCTTTAGCTCAGTTCAGAAGCAACATAATATTTATTTACTAGTTGAGTTTCAGAGAGTTCATCCTTAAAATTTGGAATCTTGGCCCATACTTTTTAGTTTAGGAGAAGTTTTCTTGCTACGGTGTGTATGTTAGGCAAAATTGTATACACAAATGCGTGTATTAGGAAATTTTCACACTAAAATTAAAATGTTGACAAACATGCAAACTGATGTGGAAATGTGGAAAACTGAAGTTAAAAATAAGGGTATCAGAGAAACCAAAACTGACAAATTTTCCTATCCATATCTCTAGCCATGGTGCTGAACATGCTCACTCCCCTCCTTGGGGTGGCTGATTGTGTGTGTTTTTAAGTACAATAACTAATTCCATACGTCTAGTTTAGTCCTCAGGTCTCACCACACAGGGCACATTCAAAATATAAGAGAAAACAATGGGTGAAATAGTCAATATATTAAAGAGGAAAGCAAAAATCGATCCTGAATTATAATTTAAATTTCCAATCATGTAAATCTTGAACGTACAATGTACAAATATTCAAATTCCTCAGTTATTACCACCAACAAAAATAACTGTTTACATTTTAATAACCTAGCTTTTAAAAAGAAATATTTACATTGCTCACATCTGAAACTGAGATGGTTATTGGCATACTGTTTTCTATAGGGGTTCAAAACGTATCATGGAAAAATCTTGGAGTAGGCCCATTGAAATTAATGAACATAACTTATGTCCATTAATTTTGATAGGTCTACTCCAAATACTACTAATATTGTATGCAACCTATGTGATTTTCAGAATCAACAGACACAGTTAAGTGTAAATGAGTACAGTGGTACCTCCGGTTGTGGACAGGATCTGTTCCGGAGGTCCGGCTGGATCCCAGGGTTTTCACAACCAGAGAGACTGCTTCTGCGCACGCACACGCAATGGTAGAGCGCTTCTGCACATGCATGCGTGGCAAAACCCCAGAAATATACTTTTGGGTTTGCCACTTATGTATCCCGAAGTTTACATAACCGGAGGGATACATAAACGGAGGTATGAGTGTATAGCAAAATGGTAGCTTTTTGGAAAACATGTCAATAATCAGAATTAGAGTAAGAAAGCCAGCAGTTAGAATGCATATGCTAGCTGGAACCTGTGTAACAGAAATAGAATGGTTTATATTAGGCAATGTCTGCATGCTCTTTACTGTTCTTCAGAGAGATTTGAAATTTCCAAATGTCATGTTTTATTCACTGTCTTTGCTAGCAAAGCACACATACATATGGGGCTGCCAACTGTATACTGGCACCTGTTCCTATGCCTTGAACAGACATTAGGTGACAGTGCTCCAAGCTGAGAAAAAAATCACTTGCTGATTTCTACAAATCGAGCTGCTATTAAAGACACAGGAACTACTTGTTTTGGAGTTGTCTCACAACTATAGATACACTCTTGTCAAAAGTAGATGTCTACTTTTAGTGCAATATTGGGGTATATCAAAACCAATGACATAGAATGACCATTGAAATGCAGTGGTTCCTTTGAATGGCCATAATAACACGCTGAATTTTAGGAAAGCCATTGGAATGTGTCAAGGTGGGCACCCTGAAAGGACTTGTCACTTGTTGGATACATTTTTGTTTTTAGGCTGGCCTTTTAATTTATTTCACACACATCCCTTGCTGGTTTTTCTTCTTTTCTTTTATAACTTGCTTTGCTTTATCTGCCATGTTTATTTTTGATAGTTGGCTTTACATTAGCCTTTGTAGGCAACCTTGAATGGTTTAGTTTTTGAACTAGAAAGATTCTAAACACTCAGGGAGAATTCTAGCTATTGCAGGTGACCACAGCTATGTATTGCTTTGTTCCTCCAAAAAGATGTAGCTGTCAGTTGAGTTTCTGAATGGACATGCAGAAGAATTGAAAAGGGTCAGGTTCTGCTGGCTGTCCTTGCCACCCTTCATTCCATCTTCATCTGCATAAAAAAAAATCAATTGAATTTCTGAATGGCCCTATAAATGCACTGAGATAGTTGCATCCTGCTAAATTTCCTTTAGATTTGGGTTTCGTAGTCTGCCAGGTCAATGAACAGATTGTGCATTCAGGTCACTGTGAGAAACTGAGCACTTATCTGTATGAAACAGGGAGCCGTCCCGACCAAGACCTTAGGAAGCTTACAGCCTAACCCACCACTACTCCCTGTCACCATTTTGTTACCACATCAAGAGATCCTACAACAAACCCCCAGAAGCACTACTAGTAATTCTGACACCATGTCAAAGGAGATTCCATCCCTAGTAATATGTAAGAAATATGAAAAACTGAAGCACCATGACAGTACGTTTCTGAGCACAATTCAAAATGTTGGTGCTGACCTTTAAAGCCCTAAACGGCCTCGGTCCAGTATACCTGAAGGATCGTCTCCACCCCCATCGTTCTGTCTGGACACTGAGGTCCAGTGCCGAGGGCCTTCTGGTGGTTCCCTCGCTGCAAGAAGCCAAGTTACAGGGAACCAGGCAGAGGGCCTTCTCAGTAGTGGCACCAACCTTGTGGAACGCCCTCCCAGATATCAAAGAGAAAAAGAACTACCAGACTTTTAGAAGACATCTGAAGGCAGCCTTGTTTAGGGAAGCTTTTAATGTTTAATTTTAATATTCCATTGGAAGCTGCCCATAGCGGCTGGAGAAACCCAGCCAGATGGGCGGGGTATAAAAAAGTTGTTGTTGTTGTTGTTGTTGTTGTTGTTGTTGTTGTTGTTGTTGTTGTTGTTATTATTATTATTATTATTATTATTATTATTATTATTAACGTGTGCAAAGAGGAGGATGACCATGCAGGAACTTATTTCTTGGCTTCCAGTTCTGTAGCCAATTTGTGAGAATGATGCTGTTTATTCTGTAGTGCAATCCCAGATATGATGGAGGGTTCCATGAATATTTGTGCAATAGAACGATCCTTTTACAGTGCTTCAAAGTATAGGGTTGTGTGCAAACACTTCCACTGACACAAGCCAGGATGCTCACTTTTCATTGAGCACCTGGCCACCTGCACCATATCCCAGTCTGCTCCAGCAGATTCCTCAACACCTCAACTTTTTAAGGTTCATAGGTTGGCCAAGCTCTGGTGCCCCAAATTGGAGGGACAAATGTACTTTTTGTTACAGCAAAGCTGGATGGGGTACAAACCATAAAATATATTTCATATGAGAAGACACTTTAAAAAAAATCACTTAGAAACCCAAACCCTCCATAATTTCTGTGTTGCCATGAACCTCTATTTTACCTCTTCCAGCCCTCACAAATAGCACAATGAGAAAATGTAAATAATTTATTATTTCTCGTTGATCCTAAATGAATAATAAATTCCTTACATTCTCTTTTGTTGCAGGTATTTTCAAAGTATGCCATATATTTCCAGACTAATATTCATGAAGCCATTTTGTTTCTCAGGGGGGTTATAATGTGAAATCTTGTATCACATTAAAGTTTCATTTTAAGTCTACAGTGTTTTTTTCTTAATAATCCCACAGGATTAGTTTAATTAATTTTACACACATTAACAAAATATTATCTGGCCAAAAAATTAGTCAAAGCTTTGGTGCATGAACTCCCCCGCCCCCGAGTGGTTTAATTTTGTACTTTTAAACATGTTTTTGTTCCTAAGGTCTGGGAATTGGGAATATGTTCTATGTATTTTATGAAGATGGAATCAAAGTGATACAGCCAGTGGAGTGTGAATTCCAGAGACATATTAAGCCTAGTGAAAAGCTCCTTGGATTCCAGGCAAGTATTCTGAAACATCTAGTTACTCTTTCCTTCCACCATGCTTGATATTGCAAAAAGCTGAATATGCTCTTTGAAATGTTCTGTCTGCTAATGAAGCAACGGTTGACACATGTTTCCTACTCCTTTCTGTCACTGGGCCTCCACAACAATAGAAGACCCTGACTTGATTGGCTCCAAAGAACTATGGGCAGAAGGAGAAATGTGTCCATGCTGTGCCATGGACTCTCTTGCTCAAGCGTTTGTGGAAGTCTTATCTAAGTATGGTGCTACAGTGTTACATTAGCTGTGCAGTAGTATGAACGCCATGGCAAATATGGAAGATGCAGGCTGTAGCAACCAAACTCTAGAACAGGCTTCCTCAACCTCGGCCCTCCAGATGTTTTTGACCTACAACTCCCATGATCCCTAGCTAGCAGGACCAGTGGTCAGGGATGATGGGAATTGTAGTCTCAAAACATCTGGAGGGCAGAGTTGAGGAAGCCTGCTCTAGAAAGATCTCACGCAAAGGCTTACTATCGCAAATTGTTGCCACACTTTGCAAATGGGTCAAGCAGTGATGAATAGGTCAATCTGATCTTACCTTGAATTCTGAGTAAGAAAGCCACAGGTTGCTTCATTGCCATGTGACCCTACTTTGTATAAACTTTACTTCTATGTACCCATTTATGTGTGTCTGTGTATGAAGATTAGATAGACGAACACAAAGACAGACAGATAAAGACAGAATCTGATCAAGTAAGTGGACCTTACTCCATCAAACTTCATGCCACATTAACTTGGTTGGTCTTTAAGGTGCCATTGGATTCCTTGTGGTTTTTGCTACAGCAGGCCAATACAGCTATCCCTCTGGCATTCATGCAAATATAACTGTGGGTTACCTACATCCCTACTCACATATTCCTATGTTTCTACTCTTCTAAAATCCATGCAAAACAAAACCCTTGGGTTCGATTTGGTTCTGTAGTGATTACTGCCAAAGTTAAAACATATATACAGATATATGCAGTGCTCAACAACAAGATAAATTTTTACTGCATGCAATTATACTTTCAGTAGCTAATCAAGCTTTGATTTGTACTGCTTAACTAAAATTAGTTCAACATCACTAAAAATAAGTCAAAGACCTTTTCTCTCTCTCGTATGGATGGCTAATTTAAAAGCTGATAATTTAAGAAGTATCTGAAAATTTTACCAAAGGAAACTTAAAATGAGAACAGTGAAATGTGAAAGTATTCTGTGTAGCACTTCAGAATTAATGATAAGTTGAGTGATGAACAGTGAAGAGAAGTAATTATAATGTAAAATTTAGGAGAGGGAAAGATTCAGTTCATGGAGCAAGCGTGTTAAAGGTAAAGGGACTCTGACCGTTAGGTCCAGTTGCGGATGACTCTGGGGTTGCAACTCTCATCTCGCTTTATTGGCTGAGTGGCGTACAGCTTCCAGGTCATGTGGCCAGCATGACTAAGCCACTTCTGGCGAACCAGAGCAGCACACAGAAACACAGTTTACCTTCCCGCTGGAGTGTGTAGGTGTGTGCAAATTACATAGGCAGAATTGTGTTGTTATTCCATTTTCCTTTAGATAATCCTCTGCCTGAGTTTTAGCCAGCTTGATCTGTGCTATCATCAGTATCTGTGCTATCCTTCAGTATCATCAGACTCTCACTTCAATGAAAGGACCTTGGTATTTTCACCATAGTCATATTGTGTCATGAACTCTGTAGTCTTTTGCGCATGTTGCTTTCATCTGTGAGGATGAACAACTCATCACAACAAAGTTTAGAAAATCCTCTATCGGAAGAACATCTAATGCTTGATCAAGTAACACTGAGTGAATTTTAAGCAGTTTGTTGTTTGTTTTGAGATCAGAGCAGATTTTGGGATAGCCCTCAGTAAATTGAGTGTAAAATTCACAGTAGTTGATATACATTTCAAAGGTACTTATCTCCAATTCATGCCTCAAGTTTAATACAGTGTCTTTCCAACTCATACGATGTATTCCTGTTTGCCCCTTTGCACATTTAGACTGAACACTTGAATAGGGCAAAATTTGAACAGACATACACCACAAGTAGCAAGTTTAAACTACTCTTCCCTTGCAGTTGGAAAACAGCCATGCAAATTTATTTTCTTGCCCCCCTTTTTTTTGTCATGCAACTTTACTGGTTAGGATTTTATTATTATTTTTACGCCTTCCTGCATAGGGCCTATAAATCTGCTGCTGCTCCATAACTTGAATTACATAGCAAGGGGAAAATATTTTTCTACTCATTGCTTTGAATACAACATACCTTCAGGCAACTATGCTATGTTGTTAAAAAAAATCCTCAATAGAATTCCCTCCATGGAGGAGGAAAGTATGTTTCCAGCTCATTGAATTATGCATTATTTTAATACATATATTTCTGCTGCATAGACTGGCTCCTGAGTGTGGATTTCAAGCTGCTTTTGAGCTAAGTCTCTATTACTACATACCACATTAAATGCATAGCGTTTTGACGTGACAGTTTCCTCAGATGCAAGTACTGAGGGGCTTTCAGGCTTTTTAGAGTCCTCATTCTTACAAATTTAATTTGTCAATGTGTTTACGGCATTGGTTGCCCCAAAGCAGCGGTTCCCAATTTTTTTGGAGCCACCACCCCCTTGGTTCCATAAACTCATCCCCAGGGCTCTCCACCCTAACCTGTAAAAAAGCATTATTCAGAATAGTGATTTGAATGGCCCACTAAGGAAGATAATAAGGTAAAGGTAAAGGACCCCTGACAGTTGAGTTCAGTCGCAGATGACTCTGGGGTTGCGGCGCTCATCTCGCTTTACAGGCCGAGGGAGCCAGCGTTTGTCCGCAGCAGTTTTTCCGGGTCATGTGGCCAGCATGACTAAGCTGCTTCTGGCGCAACGGAACATTGAAACCAGAGCAGCGCATGGAAATGCCGTTTACCTTCCCGCCGAAGCAGTACCTATTTATCTACTTGCACTTTTTGGCGTGCTTTTGAACTGCTAGGTTGGCAGGAGCAGGGACCGAGCAACAGGAGCTCATTCCGTCGCGGGGATTCGAACCGCCATCTTTCTTATCGGCAAGTCCAAGAGGCTCAGTGGTTTAGACCACAGCGCCACCCGCATCCCTATAAGGAAGATAATACCACAGCAAAATTCAAAACAGTGGCAATTAATTGCACATTTATTCAAAATCCAATTAATACCATTTAATATAATGAATTAAAAAACTCTGATGAACTTGATTCAGTGACACCATTTTAAAAAGTCTGATAGTCATTTACAGCTCCCGTGCCCCCCTGCAGCTCCTCTTAGCACCCCATAGGTAATCTTAATGCCCCCCTAGGGAGCAATACTGCCCACTTGGGGAACCCCTGCTCTGAAGTGTCTTGTCTTTAGACAAGACTAGACCCAAAGAAACAAGTGAGCCCAAGTAAAGGAACTGCTAACTGTACTCTGCAAATGCTTGCCCAAGAGTTGGTGCAAGATAAAGTACTCCAGTGGGCAGGTTCTACAAAGGTTCTCATAAATCTTGATCAGCTAGAATTTCCACAAGCTTTCATGGAATCTCTTGCACAAGGACAACAACATCTTTGGCATTTGTTTCATTATTATTTTTCATGCAACGCTGTAGCATGATGTGTAATGCAGCCTTCTTATGAGCTGAAGGTATCTTTCACTTGCAGAAGTTCACCTTTAGATCTAGCAGCTTCCACTTTTAAACTAATTATAATTCCCCATTGCTTCCAAACTTTGGTTATTTCAACAACGGTTTGCTCACTTGCCATGATCCTAAACCAAGTTCAAGAGTAACAAAGAACAAAGTTGTTTGAAAGCAGAAATTAAGCTTCCAATATCATCACCCCTATATATAGTGGAGGAATCAGCATGCAAGACCAAGGCTGGCTAAGGCTTCTTCCTTAGCACTAAATCATGGTTTAGCTTTACTTGTGAACATTACAAAGGTTCATTGATTTTCTAATGTAGGAATCAAACACTATACATTGGACTTAAGCATATTTGAAATTAAGCATAGCTGTTCATTTGCACAGAGATGCTCTGCTGAACTGAGATAAAAACATGAACTTTTAAAAGAAAAAAATGCAGTATATAAGCAAACTTGCATTTGGTCAGTTGTTAAAATGTTAGCTCATAAAATTAAGTAACAGTCCTTTCTCATCTTCAGAGTTTACTAGATATGCTTGGCCAATTCTGTTTTCTCTCCCCCTAACCTAATTTATATTATTCAGAAACAAAACATTCAAAGTTTCTTGCAGATCAGTCATGTAACAAATTATTTACATGTATCTGAGCTAATTAATAATATTTGGATTGACTCAGGATCTACTGAAATAAGAGGCCATGTTTATACTGACTAGATAGCTTGAATGAGGCATCCCATACAACTGAATTTGCAAATCAATTTTCTTTGTAGATCTCATTCTATCTCAGAAACAACTCTCCAAAATCACCAAATATTTTGCTTTATTCCATCTGCTGGTTTGAATTAGACTGAATCACTTTCTGCTTAGGAAAGTGTCAAAAAGCAGTGAAATAAATTAACATTTTTATTGGATATTATCAGATGTTCCTCTTATAAGGAACCTAAATTGGAAAAAAGGTGCATCAATCACTTTTTAATTAAAAAGAGAATTTGTTCCTATATTTAAGAGAAAATTGTTTCATCCCATTATCTGACCACTGGGGAAATTTTTAATGGAGCTTTGCATTTGAAGGTAAAGAGGAGAATGCTAAGCTTAACCTTATAAAAAAAATTAAAAATCATTTCTAAATCAGAAAATACTTCATTCTGCATTCTGTTCCCATCTATCAAACTATTTCTGGCATCAGCTATAGTCAGATTAATGGGTCTCATAGATAAAAAATAAGTAAGGAGAAAAAATTGCTTAGGACTGAAGGTCTCATTTGACTAAGTTAATATTTAACAGCAGATATACTAGCTGAAAATTGTGATATGCAAAAGCATATATGTACATATTTCAGCATGCTATACAAATAACTGAATATACATAATACGGTATTTGTCCCAGCTGTGGCCACATTAAGTGAGGCGTCTTCAATAGCTTTATGTTTGAGTGTAGTGATCTCTGATGTTTGATCTACCCAATTTATCCATAGAATGCCTTCATTTTTCATTTGTTTAAGCTTTTCAAGGGAATGTTACAAAAACAACCCTGTAGCTTTGGCAGGATGAGGTCAAGAAAGTTGAATTCAGCTAGCTGGATGCTTGTGCGGTCAAGTGATTTGAGCATGTAATACCTTCAATATGGCTACCTGTTTGTTTCTAGGCCCAATTGGTAACCCTGAAATAATCCTGAATAGTTTAGGATCACATTAATTAAAGGACCACCTGTAGCCATACGTACTTGCCCAGTCCTTAGCATCGGACATCAGAGTCCCTGCTTGTGTAGGCTTACACTCAAAATCTGTCAGATTGGCAGGATCAAGAAATGGTGTAGAATTCTCTCTCTAGGGAGGCAAATCACTCTACTTTGACGTTGGCATCCATCATTCTCAAGAGACAATGGTGTGTGCCTCTGGCCACACTGGAGAATCACAGCACCTGCTGTGGCTGAAGAGACCAGTAACTGCCTTCTGCCATAACTGCTGCCTCCTGCCTTGTTTTTGCTGTTACCTCTTCAGGGTGCTAGCCTGGACAGGGTGTATGGAGGTCCTGGGCTGCCTAGATGACAGGACCCCACTCTTGGCCTCTCTGATATAGTCCAAAGGAAAGGAAAGCAATATGTTTAGCACCAACTTGGCTACAGGAATTGCTGGAAGGAGGCATACAAGATGCCATCTAACTGTCGTAGGGACTCTGCTCCAAATTTGTACGGGTTTACTGCTTAGCCTTTTTTTCTCCCAAATATGTTCCACAAAGCAGAGGGTATGGATTTTTCCTTGTAATGAGTTTAGCTGCAAGGCGGCAGAGACTTAGGAACAGAGATTTCCTTCTCCTAGATAGGCTACCTTTCAAGGTTGATGAGCCCCATCTACCCCTCACTTCCCTTTACAGTACATGCAGAAACCATCTTCTTGATCGTTGGGCCCACTATTGGTCATGTCCACTCAATCTGGCAGAGCCTGTCTTTGCATGCAGGGGAAGTCCCTAACTCATGGAGGGTTTGAGACCCATCAGCTAACTTCAGCTGGTTTAGCCAGCCTTTTGAAATTGTTTCTTAGGGTGTGGCCACTGTCACATGCTGACAGCTCCTAGGAGAGACAGCTCCTGAGAGCTGAGTGAAGAGTGGAGACCAAAGATGGACAAACTACCTCAGAAGGAGCACAACATGTCACACAACAGTGGTACTACTCCTAATACCCCATATACCCCTCAGTGAATAAGAGACAGGAAAGTGAAAACCCCCTCCATAGGGGAACATAACTTTTGAGAATTTGAATGGCAAGATTCAGCACAGCATTAACAGAATTATATTAAGCATTAATAGGAAATCAAACCTTAATTTTAGTATCAGCAAGTACTCTTTTGCCCGATGTTGGTCAATTCAAAGGAACCCTTTTTTAATGTTCCAAAGTATTATAGAGTGGTTTCAAACAGACACATTTCCCTGTAGGAATTAATAAATTCTGAGCAACAAATAATGACTGCTAACCTTCCTTGTAAGTGGATACATTCTAAGCAGGACTCAGAAATTGATTTCTGTTTCACTCTGACATGCGAAGATTCAGACAGTGCCTATACTGTGTACTAAAGAAAAACCATCAAACAGAGATGCCACAGAATGCTCAGATAAATTATATCATGTGCCTTTTAAAAATGTGCTTTCTAGTATTCAATCCCTCTGCATGTCACAGGTGCTGTTTTCCCCCTCTATTTTTCATTTCAAAGAAACCCCTGCACAAGGAAACAAGATATTTGCTTAGCAGCTCATCAGTGCCTGCTGTTTATTCCTCACTTGAAGTCATCATCCTCTGACACACCATAAGTATTGCTACAGCAGCCTGCTATGATGTGTCAAATAGAAGATATTAGGTCAGGAATAAGCATCAGATATATGCTAAAATCTTGTTTTGATGAGCTGTCCTGAGTAATAAGATGAAGAAAAGATGAAGAGAAATCTTGGCATATGTGACACATTTCTGGCCCAAGCAATTTTCAGAACTGGAGTATGAATATTCTTCAAGCATTCTTTGAAGCGTTCTTTGAACTGTTTGGCACACAGTTAATTTTGTAGCACTGGTGGATTTACTTCATATCCACTGATAAATAGCACTCTGGAAGATCTACATGCCTTCTATTCACACATAGTCGCTGGCCATTTGCCTTTTGTGTTGTTACGGCTACATAACACTTGTGGATTTTCAGAAGACATTACAGTCCACACATCAGCTGCCAGATTAATAACCCTGTGTTCATATGAATCCTTTAGAGCATCCAGGATAGACCAGAAGCATTTCACAAGTGATAATGATTAAGTTTTGGTCATTTCTCTTCTCTGTATAGCAACTGTAAATCTGCAGTGACAGGGCCCAGGTATCCGGGAATGGGAATTAAGGGCACTGTTTTACACTGCATCAAAAGACTGGCTCACACAGTGGGCCAGAGTCATAACAATCAGAAGCAGCATCTGTGCACCAGCCGAGCCATTCCAGAAGTCCCAGTGGTGCTTGTGCATAGGCCCAGCCTCACCACTGGCTCCCCCTCCTGGTAAGCAGCAGCAATGCTGCTACTGGGATACTAGTACAGTGGTACCTTGGGTTACAAACACCTCAGGTTACAAACACTTTGGGTTACAGACTCGGTTAACCCAGAAGTAGTACCTCGGGTTAAGAACACTACCTCAGGATGAGAACAGAAATTGTGCACCGGTGGCGTGGCAGCAGCAGGAGGCCCCATTAGCTAAAGTGATACCTCAGGGTAAGAACGGTTTCAGGTTAAGAACAGACCTCCAGAACGAATTAAGTTCATAACCAGAGGTACCACTGTACTGTGAGCTTTTGTGAGTACTTTTATCGCTTTATTACTAGTAGTAATAGTATTCTGTTGGGAGCCGCCCAGAATGGCTGGGGAAACCCAGCCAGATGGGCAGGGTATAACTATTATTATTATTATTATTATTATTATTATTATTATTAGCTGCTCCTGAACATTACAGGTGTATGGTATTTTCTGTCACAGATTCTAGAAATTAAAGGGACAGGATTCTAGAAAGTGCATTTCATGCCATGTACAATATTCTGTTTATTCCTGGGATACAGGAAACTGAATTATATAAAGTCAGGCTCTTTTTCTGTTTAACTCAATGATGTCTATTGTGACTCAGGGCAGCTCTCCGAAGTCTCAGATGATCAGATGATCTTTCACATCATCTGATTACTTTAAAACAGAACACAAAAGTGGATCTGGTGGGGACTAGATCTTGTAGCTAAGGCACCTCTGTGCATAAATGGCATCATAGAAGACTTTAGAGGTTTTACAGCTAGCACATCGTCCATTATGCTAGACAGGCATATAATTTAACCAACATTAAACAAATAACTTCAAGAGACAAGCTAAACTGGGATGCGGGGGGGGGAGGTGGCTGAATGTTCTTGGATGAAACTGAATTCACGATTTGAAACTAGTACAGTTAGTTCCTGAAATAGTTCAGGCTTTGCCTGTTCTTCTGGCATATTTTGAGCTTGCATTTGAGTCATGCAGAAATGTGGCAGAGTTGTTATGAGCACCCTTTAGAATTATTGTGGTCTTAGAGTGATTTGTCATCTTCCTTTCTTCTTAATTCTAGGATGAAGTTTGCCCTAAAGCTGAGGGGGAAGAAGTCCAGCAGTGCGTCTGGGCATCTGCTGTTAATGTAAAAGACAAGTTTATATATGTAACCCAACCCACCTTAGACAGAGTGCTGATTGTTGATGTGCAGTCACAAAAAGTTGTTCAGGTAAGTGTTCTTCCTAGGTAAGATACTCTTTTCTTTCATTTGCTGTATAAGGTAGAACAAAATATTGGATTGAGGCCTGTTGCTTATTCTTTCTCTCATCAGGCCATGATTCAGGAAGTATGTAATCTCACAAACTACTACAAATCTCACAAACTACTACAACTGTGTGATAGTAGTTTCTATAGAATATCCTACCAGCCATGGATATCTGGAGTTTTTCAAAGGGAACAGTTCCCTTTGTGGCTATTAGCAAAGACAAAAAGAAACTGCAACCTGATTCCTATCAGTGTAGTGTTGGGAAGAAGTTGCCTTATACCAAGTCAGACCATTGTTCTGTCTAGTTCAGTATTGCCTTTTCTGACTGGGAGCACCTCGTCTGGGTTTCAGAGGAAAATTGCCCAGCTTTAAATAGAGATTCCCAGGGTTCAGCTTAGGACCTTTTACACCCACAGGGCTAGGGCTATGTCCCTGCAAGAAGCTTATATGTGGCTTGGGATGTGCACTGTGACTCCTACCTTTCAGTGGTAAGTCCACCCAAAGGAGTGTGATCATATCACATTCTGCAGTGTGTGTTAACAGGCTTACGAAAGTGCTGTTCTCTGTTGGGAGGGGGCTTTGCTACAGCCATGGAAAGCAAGATGGATTTAATGCTATTGCCAGCAATGTTCCTACCTGCAGGAAGAAGCTTACAACTCTAAAACTGACGTTGCAGAGGTGGAGCATGGCTGGCTGTGGATCTTCTGGATCCTAGGTAGATCCATCCCCTTGAAATGGGCCCCAAACAGCAAAAAAATATAAACACACACACACACACTTTCTACCCTTGTTAGCTAGACATGGCAGATGAGGCATCCAACCAATCATTCCACTCTGCTCCGCTCCACTACGCTGGTCCCAGTGAGGGCTTCATATTGCTCTGCCTGGCTTCACCCTTATACCCAGTTTACCTGGGAATACATTCCTTTGGACAGAATGAAACTTCCTTCTGTGTAGAATGTTGAGGACTGTGCTGTTTATTTAACAAATATCTTGGCATCCTTGAAATTGCTCATAGCAGCAGCTTATATTTTGAAGTCTGGATGTTTCAGACTTAGATATATGAATGCATGTTGCTCATTCAGTGCTTATTGTTAGATGTTTTCAGAGTATTACACTAAAAAAAAATGTAAACAAAGTGCAAATATATTTCGGTGGAAGGGAAGGATTTTTTTTTTAACCCTATAAAGATTTGTATTTTAAAAATTGGCAAGTTTATAAACCCCCAAAGTTTTTCTCTGGGTCCCTGAGTTTATCATTACTTTAACTATGAATGAGGTGTACATTTACCTGTGTCTTTATGTCTATATGGATGTGTATGTGTACATGTGATTGATACACATACATAGACAAGTAGTTGGCATGTTTTATATATCATAGCAAATATAATTGCCTGTTCAACCATTGGCTATGATGTACAGTTTAAGTTTTAGATACTTCTCATCTGTGAAAAGGGTTAGCCAAAAACATTCAGACAAGAATTTTCACCTTACTCTTGAGAGCAAAATCATGTCAGCACTATGTTTCAGAACACAAAGAAGTGTCTTAAAATTCATTTCAAGATCATAAAATTTGCACTTTCTAAAATATAAATGTGACTTTCCTGCAAGCAGCTGTGCTTCACTTCATGAATAGGCATTATACAGTTGCTAAAAAATCTGCTGTCATCTTCATAAGAAGAAATGAAATTTGAAAGTGATTGAAAGTGTCAGGCACGGCTGCTATTAAAATTTTAATCCTTGCCAATATTCCCAGTACCCTAGACTTCTTTATAATATAACAGACACTAATATACAGCTAATGCTTGTACACCAGTGCTCATAATTTCTTTTTTTTATCATGTATCAATATGACAGGTTAAAATAAAGATAACTATAATTTATTTTAGAGCAGCTCTAGAACGCCATCATCATAGCATTCAATAAAATACAAAAGAAAGGTTCTGTTCATTTTTAAGCACAGAATTATAGTTAGGGAAGCAGTTGGAAGACTGCATAGTTCACCTGCATTTCTTCATATTTTTGATCCAGCTAATCAAAAATAGGCATTATTTTGTTTGTCACATTTCTGTCTTGTCAAATCCAAGCAAGAGAAGAATTTGTGGGTTGCCATGCTCACCTAGTATTCAAGGTGGGTCCAGTTTATTAGTTTCAGGGACATTTCTAAAGCACAGGTAGTTCACAACAAGAGGGCTCACAGGACTTCTCCTTTTTCAGCCTGAGGGCCACATTGCTTAGAGGGCAAGCTTCCAAGGGCTACATGCCATGGAGCCTGGGAGAGACAAAAAAAATAGTGGTTGGAAGAAGGGATGCAACTCTTCACCTATGAACCGGAGGCACAATTTCAGACATACAAAATACCAAAGTTTTAACACCACTACAAGCTTTTACACCTCCTCATACACATCCCCTCCAGAGTCGTCAACCAGGCTGGCAAGAGCCATTTTCACCAATCATTGACACAATATAGCCATGTAAAAGCACTAGAGGAAGTTGTGGAGTGTGGCTTGAGGAGGAGTCCCATGGCCACGTAGGCCTAGACAGCTGCATTCAGCCCTGGGCCTGATGTTCTCCACACCTGGCGAATCTGAATGAAACATCATGTTCATGCTTGCTAGAACCTGGATTTCCCATATGCAGTCCACAACTACTTTGGATGGCCGTTATAATGTGTTGTATCCAGTATATGCTTTGCCTTAGAATGCATACACACTGTGCTTTCAAAAGACACTTGAAGCATATTCTTTCCACCAAAGAATGATGGGCGCTGTAGTGTACTCCTCACAGTAACAATTCCCAGCAACACCAATTAGTTTCCAGGCCCAATTCAAAGAGCTGGTATTGATCTATAAAGCCTTATAGAGCTTAGGGCCTTCATACCTTAAGGACCGCCTCTCCCCATACAAACCGACCCAGACCCTGCATTTGTCATCTGAGGTCCTTCTCTATGTCCTCCCTACCTGAGAGGTTCAGAGATTGGCAACAAGAGAACAGGCCTTTTCTGTGGTGGCTCCCCATCTGTGGAATGCTCTCCCCAGAAAAACTCGTCTGTTGCCATCATTGCCTCTTTACCTCATTCCTCTTTACCTAGGCCTTTGGCGATGAAATAATCTATGGCCTGTTAAAGGTGTGTGTAGAGGGGCTCTCATTATGATTATTTTATTATTATGCTATCTGTCATTATGCTTTGTATTATTATTTTTATTATTATTATGCTCCGTAAAATGTGTTGTAATGTTAAACACCACCCTGGGAACTTTTGATAAAGGGTGGTATGTAAATTAAATTAACAACAACAACAAAGTGCAGTGCCCATAATTATTTGAGTCAGGAAATGCATGCAGCCTTAGTGGAAAGTGTTTATAGTTGTGCAAGTCAATTCCCACTACACATTTAGGCCTCTTGCCAGCCCCCTCCCAAAAGCTGCTCCTGGGGGAGTCTCTCTGCTACAGAATGGACTCTTGTGCAGAGGACTGTAGTAGGCAGGCTGGTGTGCCCTGTTGCGAGTCCAGAAATATTGCCCATCAAGTCCAAGACCCTTCTAATATTAACATTATAACAAAGTTTATTCTCATTTAAAGAGGACCCTGGCACTATTTCTGTTACACTGATTCTCACACATTTCTGCAAGAAGGAAATCCCTTTAATAAACTGAAATATTACACTACATTACAGGTTTTTTACCCTTGATAAAAATCCTGTGAGAAAATGGAAAGAGTCTTGTAAGATTTTTAGCCAGGGTGACAAAATATAATGTCTAAAGTTCCCACAAAAAGTTGCCAGCCATGACGGAAATATCACTTTATCTCTGTCATTTTACAGTAGAGATTTCAGCACTGAAGTATAACTAATATGAAGTACTTTGGCAGTTTTTAGGGAAAGAGTTGGCTCAGCAATGCTTGTAATATCATAGAAACAATCCTGCTCTCTTATCCCATAATGATATGCCACTGTATTCTTTTTGCAAGCCCCAGGAGTTATTTTTCTCTTGCATTTAGACATAAATCTTTAAATATGTATAACCGATATGTGAGGCATTTAGATTCTTAGCCAGTCCACTTTGAGGGAACTATTTATTTTTTCTTTCCACATCACTAAGATGTCTTAGCATAGGAAGGTACAAGAAGTCAAATATGCACATTATTCAGAAGGTGGATATCTTTTGCTCTCTATTTACTCGAGAAAAATTGCATACCTTTCTTGGAAAACAACTCTAGATGGTGCCACAAGAGGTGATCTTGTCAAGCTATAATTGCATGCATGGAAAAACATGTTGTTGCAATACAATCCTGTACCTGAATGATATCCTCTCCCACATGAACTAAGGGAAGGGACCAGCAGAAACACATGAAATGCGCTGGGTGATCCTGCCAAGCAAATTGTGATTTCGGAGTGTTTCACTAGGGATGAGTGAAACTGTTAAATTTCTGCTTCTCTCAGTTTTTCCTTTTTTCCAATCATAAGTCCAGTTTGCCAGATTTCCACATCACCTTTTCAACATCCTGATCTCACATTACACCTGCTGGGTGAGGTAGTTTGGTGTGAAGTTACTTAACAGATTGGGTAGAGGCAATTTTAAGCATGCCAAGACCAGCTTCAGTGATTTCTCATCTTACATAGAAGCATTTCTACAACCATGGCACCCACATCTAATATCCCATGTAATATAACATCTCAGATACAAGGGATATTTCGGAAATAAAGTGAGAAGCAGACCTAGCACAAAGATTAATAGAAGAATTGTGCTCTAAGTGGAACTATTTAGACCTGCATTTTCAGTTTCAATGGGTTTGACCCAAGTCGCCTAGTTTGATTCCCTTCGATTTCTTTGCAGTGGTTGAGCCAACAATAACGTTGTTTCAAACATGCACAATTTGCAGTATCACAACAGTTGATTCAGGCGTGAAAGACTATTGCAGGTGTTATCTAGCAGCATAAAAAAAGAAAGGTAACCAGGTAAACAATTGTCCTGGAGTTTGTCTGCTCAAGAAGAAAAACAGCTTTGGCTTTACAGGAAGCTGGAGTTTTTCGCAACACCTCAGGTGTATAGTTAAGCATCGCCAGTGGTCTCAGCCAGCCATTAGCACATTATCTTGAGGATCTACATCATTACTTTAAATTAGATCCACTTAATTAGCCAGCTGGTACTCTTCTTGTCAAACTGATAAACAAGCTGTGCTTCACAGTTTCGTGATAGAAAGACCAACAAACAAAACAGAACAAAGAGATAGAGGGGCTCCTTTTAAAACAAAACCGAAACAAAAATACAAATGCAGCCCTAATAGTGGAGTTAGTTCATTGACAGCAACAGAGAAATTTTTATGAAGATTACCCACTCTGGGATCCCACAGCTAATTCTCCCCTGGCCTCCTCGCTGGCCCAAATAGGAATAATTTAGCCAGCAAGCCCTGGTGATCATCTAATGTTTATTGGATGGATTTCCCCCTAAATTGATTTTTGATTTTTGAATTTATTGTTATTCACACTTTTATACTGTTTTTTATGCTTTTTTTGTTGTATCACAATTAAGTTTTAAATTGGTTGTTAACTGCCCTGAGCCCAGTTTTCTGAACCGGCAGGAAGGTAAACAGCATTTCCGTGCGCTGCTCTGGTTCTCCAGAAGCGGCTTAGTCATGCTGGCCACATGACCCGGAAGCTGTCTGCGGACAAACACTGGCTACCTCGGCCAGTAAAGTGAGATGAGCGCCACAACCCCAGGGTTATCCGCGACTGGACTTAACTGTGAGGGGTCCCTTTACCTTTAAAACACACTTACTCCATTTATATCAAGCTGCTGCTGTGTTTGTTTCTGTAATTCTAAGCACCCAGTGAAGATTTTTTTTTCTTGTCCTACCTCTCTCTGTGTGCTTCTTCTACTTTTCAAAGCACACACACAAAACTATTTGAGTGAAATATATTTATTTTGTCTTGTTTTACCAAGTTAAAAATTACATGAAAACTATGATCAAATAATATACACATAGAACAATCACAGTTGTGTCAGTTTCCTTCTCTGGTCAGAATTCTTTTTGCTAGTTGAAATTCTTCAATTTGCTATTAAAAAACGAAATGTATCACTTTGATGAATCCATGGTCGGTATATTCCACATTTTTCTCTTCATTTGCAACTTTTAACAAAAGCAAAAAGATGTTCACAGATAAACCAAGAAGCATACAATCGAGGAAGAAGGGTAAATAAATAGTTTGCTGCCTTGCCACTTTTGTCTCAAGCATTTTAATAGCTTTGTTGCGGCATACAACTTAATTAGGTGGAGACGGAACATATATCCATGTCACGTTGTTCAAATAATGAGCAAAGATCGCTGTTTAAGCAGGAGTGCTCTAGCTTCAGATTAATTAGAATGACATCAACAATTGAAGGCTTCACTGGGGTCTAATTTTCACTCCAAACTTGTGCAATATTTACGTTACTATAACGTTAAAGAAAAGCTGGTCCTTTCCTTGTTTCTTCATATTCTTTAGGCAGTAAGTACAGATCCCATTCCAGTCAAACTTCACTACGACAAATCGCATGATCAGGTATGGGTGCTCAGCTGGGGAAGTTTTGATAAGAATTCTCCTACACTACAGGTGAGTATTTTTATTTCATTGTTTTAATTATAGCCAAACTCGCTGTAGAATCCTATGATACACAGAGAAAAGTAATTCCTTGGAAGCTGCTCAACAGCAGCTATCAATGAATTTTTAAAGCTATCTTGTCAGCAATAAGACTTACTAAGAAATTTCCTTCATTTGTACGTGCTCAAAATGTAGAAAACTTTCAGTGGAATACTTATAAACTATGTCCCCACAGTTGAATAATGTCAACATTTTGAATTAAATCTAAACAAACACAGATTTTATTTTGTTTTTTAAACTTCTGTTCAGAATCCATTTCTCTTACTTTGACAGTTACGTGCAGAAGAGGGAGCCCCCAGTACTATTTCTGGTGATGTTTCACACATAAGCACATCAAAATGGCTTTAAAGTATCTAGAGATAAATCGCAACAAAGATTTTGTGTCTTCTAGTTGTGTAACAGGAGCCATGTGTAACAGGTTGGGGATGGGAAACAGAATTCAACCCTCCTTACATTTACATATTTCAAATCTGGAACATGTGCATTTTTTATTGTTGTGCACCATCCCAGGCTCCCTTCAGTGGAAGGTGAAGGTGTGAAAACAAAATGAAATTAATAGAAAAAGCATTTTGTATGGGTTCATCTGGCAGATCTGCTGTAATATTTAAGGATTCTGTACTGATAGGTCCTAACACATGAGCATTGGTGAGGTTCATAGTTGATGATCAGATGGAAAGATCCAGTGAAATGACAGGGTGGCAGAGTTTTAATCCTTAAGTAGTGCTGTGCAGCTGTGGAGGAAGCCGCTCGGGGGCCTAGGGCGGCGCGCCCATGGGGCGGGGCAAGGGTGGGGCACACCTCCAGAGTCTGCCTGCCTCCTCCCACTCAGCCGCCCTACAACTGGTGGGAGGGAGGCAGCGGGCAGACCATGCCACCGCTTCTCTCCCAGGAGAGACACATGGCTCAGGCACACTGCAGGGCCAGGGTGAGTGCCACCCGGCATTTTGTCACCCCCTCAGTGGTGACACCCAGGGTGGACAGCACCCACCACACACCCCTTCCTCCACCCCTGGTGCTGTGGAATGTACCTCTGGAAAAGTGACATTAAGCTATTACTGTGATGCCTGAAGGTACCTTACCAGCAGGAGAATTTTAAAGAGATGACCATATGTGTACAGTGTAGAATTAGAATTGAAGGGAGCCTTGTAGGCTCTCCTGTCTACCACTGTTTGATGCAGGAAACCTATAGTTGGAGCATCCCCTACACAAGTCTTTCTAGCCACTGCTCAAGGGAAAATGGCTTACTATAAGCAACAACAGTTACATCTTTTAAAATATATAGAATGCACAGTAATTTTTCATCAGAGCTGCTTTGTTTATAATGATTCCTGACTGCATGAAACCAGTAAATCTCCAGGAATCATTAATACAGACAAATGTGTATTCCCCTGAATGCAGGAGCTGTGCGATGCTTCACATCCCTTCTTTATTAGAGCCTGAGCATAATTTGGATTGCCTGTGAATGTTATTTGCTGAAGTTGGTTATTTTTGAATCATTTGTTTCAAAAGGGATCAGAACTATCAAACTGGTGATGGGATTGCATTGAAAGAAACAGCTTGCTTTTGCAGGGAGACATATTTTCAAATGCAAGCTGATATATATTGCTATTGATTATGACTCAGTAGCTGATTGCAGTCTCCAGGGAGCTTTAAGCATTCCACTAGATGCACTATTATTGAAAATTACTTCAAAATATTTATATGAACTTTAAGGCAAAATGGATAAGAAGATTGATTTCCTTATGTCAAATACATGTTTTAATTTGGATACAACTCTATTAATTTCTAACCTGGCAGCCCAAACCTTGGGTTGCTGTGCAGGGATTGCTAGGTCTGGGTAATGCCATAACCACTGAAGTTGAGGAACTGGCCCAGCATCTTTGCAATTATATCAGCCACTGAGGTAACAGTGCTATACAAAGTTGTTAGTGGCAAAGGAATAGGTAGAGAAGTGGGGAATGGGGGGCAGCAGATGACTGTTTGCCCTCTTCAACTCTTTGGGTTAAAAAGGAATTGGGTCTTGTGGTACAGTCCAACAAAATGTGTATTTGTTGTATTTTGTATACCACAGAAAACTGTTATAATAGGATTGGCCTTAGCATTATATCAGGACCAATATTCCTGACTTCAGCTAAATCCGTGCAACCATTCTTCGTATCCTTGTTTCTATACAGATTTATAAGACTGTAATGTGTTATTTTGGGACGCGGGTGGCGCTGTGGGTAAAAGCCTCAGCGCCTAGGGCTTGCCGATCGAAAGGTCGGCAGTTCGAATCCCTGCGGCGGGGTGCGCTCCCGTTGCTCGGTCCCAGCGCCTGCCAACCTAGCAGTTCGAAAGCACTCCCGGGTGCAAGTAGATAAATAGGGACCGCTTACTAGCGGGAAGGTAAACGGCGTTTCTGTGTGCGGCTCTGGCTCGCCAGAGCAGCGATGTCACGCTGGCCACGTGACCCGGAAGTGTCTCCGGACAGCGCTGGCCCCCGGCCTCTTGAGTGAGATGGGCGCACAACCCTAGAGTCTGTCAAGACTGGCCCGTACGGGCAGGGGTACCTTTACCTTTAATGTGTTATTTGCTTACTTCAGTAGAAACTATTGGATTTAGTTTTAAGCACTGGTATTTAAATTTTTATTGTTTGCATCAAAATGTAGGGCTTGCTCATATAATATTTCTCTGTACATGCACCACTAGTCTAAGTTGTCTCCAGGCACACATTCACTTGGGCAAACATAAAATGTCAGCACCTTATTTCCATGGTCACAGGAGCCAAGAAACATGCTACTACAGTTTCAGAAATGTGTACAGTTCATTTGTGCACAGGGATAGATCCACATTCATCTTGCTTTGCAGCTTTCTTTAATGTATTAAAAACCCCCTGATAATAATATTCTTGCTGAATTACAGGCTGTGTCTCATGTTATTAGGGGATACATGGTTTTGTCCTGTCAAAAACATTGCAATACAAATTTTGAGCAGAGTTTACACTATCACTGAAAGTGAAATTTCAGTGCAAATTTGAATGTACCTACCTGAGAGAACCATCTGAATAATTCTGAAGGAAGAAAAAAAAACAGTGGAAGAGTTAGGATTTCTCACAGGAAGTTCATATATCCTTTGTACTAAAGCTAAAAAGCTGAATATATGTTGAACTCCTAGAGTTTCTTGCTATACAACCCACTATATTCTTATTTCTAATTGGGGGTTTGAACCACATGCCAAAGAACAAATAAGGCAGGTATTTAGAAACATCTACTTTCAAAACAATGACAACGACTGCACCCATTACAGTAACTTTGTTTGAGCCAAGTGTTGGAATAAGTTGTTGGTAGCCTTACCCTTAACATAATTTAATCAAACATGATTGATTCAAATTAGATTTTAATGAAAATGTGAGTAATTGTCCTCCACAATACATCCTCCAGGTGATAACCCAGGCCAGTGGGAGTATTTCTCATCATACTATTCATACTCAGCCAGTGGGGAAGCAGTTTGACAGAGTGGATGACTTTTTCATTCCATCTACAACCCTCCTCATCACTCACATAAGGTAAGTGGCACACAAACTAGTAAGAGTTCTGGAGCCAAGGGTTTGTACTTACTTATCTATTGGATATTTTTTAATGTTCTTGTTGTTGTTGTTGTTGTTGTTCTCCTCCAATATCACATTCATTCTTTCCCTAGGTTTTAGGATAGGTTTTCCTGTAGAGCCGTACCTTGGAAGTCGAACAGAATCTGTTCCGGAAGTCGGTTCAACTTCCAAAATGTTCGGAAACCAAAGGTCAGCTTCTGATTGGCTGCAGGAAGCTCCTGCAGCCAATCAGAAGCCATAGAAGCCCCGTCAGACGTTTGGCTTCCAAAAATAGTTCGCAAACTGGAACAGTCACCGAAACAGGTTTGCGGCATTCGGGAGCCAAAACGTTTGAGAACTAAGCTGTTTGAAAACCAAGGTGCGACTGTAGTCCTACGTTCAAATACTTTGCCCTCTCAGTCCTCTGATCTTAAGAGCTTCACCTTTCTGCCACAGCCCACTCCCATCCTATCCTTAGATCTCATGGTCCATGGCAGAATTGTCTTCCTAAGCAATTTTTTACTTAGGGTGCTGCAGCATTTTTTTTGGTGCAGCTAAAAATAAGGAGCATAGTGACAATGAAAACTGCAACATGGGGGGGGGGAGTTTGCTGGGAATCAATCCAACTTACAATAATATATATATATATATATATATATATATATGCAGGTTTTGGTGTCCTCGGGTGTCTTCCCGTGTAAAAGTTGGGGTGTCTAGGCGACGTTTCGACGAGGTCTCACTCGTCATCTTCAGGCTGGTGCTTTCGGCTTCTTGTTACTGGAACAGAGCAAATATATATATATATATATATATATATATATATATATATATATATATATATATATATAAAATCTCAACATATGCCAAATATATTTATGTTGCACTAGTCGACAGCAGAAGGAACAGGAAATGATCAAAGGGAACATTAACCCTGAAAAACAAAAAGGGGCAAGCTTCCAAACACAGGTCTTCTTAGAAAACAAAACTTTTCTTAAAGTCAGAAACAGGGTTAGCCTGAAAAAGCAGTAAGCACCCTCTCTCCAAACTAGGAATCCCTGCATGGCAGAGAGTTAGCAATATAAGACTTGTCATCAAGTCCCTAGTTCTGTGCAGACCTAGTTGAACCCCAGCCCTAGAGGATACTTCTATGTACTCTGGTGTTACTCATGTAAGAACACACAGCAGTGTGAAAGTACTTCAGTCCCTCACTCTTGGGCTATGCAATGCAACTGAAAAAACCTCAATGATCATACCTCCTTCTTTGCCTCACCTAGAGAGTTTTAGTCCTTATGTTTATTCCTTCCAATGATTCTTCTGAAAGTTAGTTCAAATACATGAGGTCAATTTTCATTCCTGTCAGGCATGTCAGCTTTTGACCTCAACATCAGCTTTACACAAAAATGTTCACTCCCAATGAACTTATTTGAACATTATGAAGAATTTTGGTTTTAGAGCAATTTTTTAACTAGCCTTTGACAGCGTATTAAAATAAACCAGAAATTAAATTATAAGCCTGTACAGACCTGTTTCTCCCTCCCCCCTCCACCTCTAGAGAAAGATATTTTAATTTGTCCACTACGGAGTTCAACGTTCACTAATTAATTGTGCCTTGGTTTAAAAACCTGGAGGGTTGGTTTAAATAAAAAAATGAAAAAAAAATCTAAGTATTGTGTCAGAAAAGGGTTTAAAAGCTGTAATCTCATTGAACTTGATTGGACCTACTTCTGAGTAGACACATAGAATTTAAAGGTAGCTGTCTTTGGTGAAAATGCTCAATAGCAGTGCCAGCACAGAAGGGACATTAGGAAGCAAACATGAGATTGCAACCTAGGGATGGAGAAGAAATCTGTTTTAACAGGATTTATGCTCCTTAGCCAGGCCTTGACAACTCAGACATGTGTTTCCAGGGCCCATCTTATTCCTGTGATGATGATGATCTATTTTAACTGTTTCTAATTTTGAATTTTGAATTATTATAGCTCGTCCTGGGATGCATTGGTGAAGTCTGAGTAGTAGTAGTAGTAATGGAATTTAGAGTTTGTGACCTGGTCGAGTTTTCCCCATATCAGAATGCCTCTTGAATTGAGTACTTGCTTCCATCCAAGTCACTCATGCAAATACATACAGTGGTACCTCGGGTTAAGTACTTAATTTGTTCCGGAGATCCGTTCTTAATCTGAAACTGTTCTTAACCTGAAGCACCACTTTAGCTAATGGGGCCTCTTGCTGCTGCCGCGCCGCCGCCAGAGCACGATTTCTGTTCTCATCCTGAAGCAAAGTTCTTAACTTGAAGCACTATTTCTGGGTTAGCGGAGTCTGTAACCTGAACCGTATGTAACCTGAAGCGTATGTAACCTGAGGTACCACTGCATTGAGTTGACCAGGCCACAGAGTGACTCTGGACAGATTGGGCTGCTCCCTGAAGTGACAGATACAGCTATCAGTCTTCTGCTGGTGCACACTCCTTTTAAATCCAACACTAGTGAGTGAGGTAGTGGATGAAATTAAAGACAACAAATAAAATGAAAAATCGGCATAGAGTTTCCCAAACTTTCTCTCAATTTTGAAGCATCGCTTAACTTCAACCTGCATTTTATCTTGGTGGCAATAATACATTTAATTTGGCGAAGCTTTGTCAAAAGTAGCAACAATAGGGCCCTTAATTGTCCCCACAGGTGTCTCTAGACAGGCATTAAATTTCTGTGAGGAATGAGAGAGAGAATATCAAAAGAGAGATATTTAGAAGTCTGTGGAGCAGAAGGGCTGATTATTTTAGCTCCACAGTTCATAAAATTAAGAAAAGTAAGATAATTGGAATAAATTAAAGGCTCTAATTATAATATTATACAATGTTTCAAAGCAATGTTAAATGAAATAATTGTAAAATATTCATTCCCAGTCTTTGGCTGCTTTAATCTTTCTAGCAGGTGTTATGAACATCACACGAAACCTGCCTTCACATGTGCAAGAATGAACAATCAACCTACTGGTGTGTTAGCCCGAAATTTAAATAGAATTAATTATTCTGTCTTTGAAATAGCTCTCTTTGTCTGAAGTGCTAATAGACATAGGAGCAATATTCAATCAGAAGCTATTCTGATTTTAATTCCTTCAAACATTTTTGAAGTCTTTAAATGTGACAAATAAAGGAGCGTTGGAAAATATAGACAGGTGCAATATATTGAATTGGATCATTGGTCCATCTGCCTCAGTATGTTCCTCGCTGATGGGAAGTGCTTCTTCAGGGTTCCAGACAGGGGGCCTTCCCAGCCCTGCACAGAGATGCTGGAGATTGAGCCAGCGGCTTTCTACCTATAGACCAAATACGCTTCCAGTAATGAAGGGTAGGCCTTTATGTTCCTGCACCACTTGACTGGACTTCTTGGGATGGTATAGCTGTTTCCTGTAAACCTGAGTCTTGGAAGCTATGACCAAGAAACACAAGTTAATGGTTGGGCTATTTTGTTGTTTCTGGTTCTCATTCAGTATTCCTGCACTTATCCTTTTGTGGCTGTTATACTGGAGATGTAAGTTAATGAGGTTAGATGGAATGCTTAGGATGCTGTTAACTCTATTATATGCTGCCTCCTCCATAGTTTTTTTTTTTGCAGCTACCCAATCACTGCCAGATTACAATATTTTCTGCAGATGGTTTTCTTAGACAGCAGTCTGTTGCCACAATACGTATTCCAAATCCTTGTATGTCAGACACAAGTGAGTCATACTTTGGATGACTAAGATTGCTTATATCAGGAAAGCTGTGTTTTCCACATTTTTATAATTATTTCAGAAGCTGGGTAGTTGACAATAGCATTGTCTCTGTACCCTTCCCATGTCCTCTGGCTGGCTGCTGTAGGAAAGAGAATGCTAGACTAGGTAGCTGGTTTGGTCTCAACCCAGTTTTTATATGCAAATCAATGTATTCACAGAAAATGGTCCCCAAAAATGCAGCCGCAAATATGCCACAATTTGGCTAAGCTTCATGGCATTTGTGGTGCTCCCTTGAGCAATGAAGGAAAAGAAATACCGTATATACTCGAGTATAAGCTGACTTTTTCAGCACATTTTTTATGCTGAAAAAGCCCCCCATGGCTTATACTCGAGTGAGGCAGGTGGCAGAGGGACGAGCAGCCCGAAAGGAGCCCTTTCAGGCTGCTCCTTCCTCTTCCTCCACTGCTGCCGCCACCACCAGGTTTGTGGTGGTGTGAACTGGCTTATACTCGAATCAATAAGTTTTCCTAGTTTTTTGTGCTAAAATTAGGTGCCTCGGCTTATATTCGGGTCGGCTTATACTTGAGTATATACGGTAACATCAGGCTAACTATTTTCTCAGCATGCAAAAGCGAATCAGAAGCCATACTTTAAATTTTACACTATCTTCTATATTTATCACACTCCGGAAGCTGGTGGGGTATTTGCTGATGCAGAGAGACAGCCTACTACTCTCAGGGGATACTTCTTCCCATGGGTTAGACTGCAAAAACATTTAAGGGACAGCTGCAGTAGTTCACTTTAAAACTAAAAAGAAACACAAAATTGCCAATGTCCCACTTTTCTTTGTTATTCCTTCCTTGTGACATTTATGGCAAAGCAACATATGTATCAAATGATAATACTGTGTGTCTACCACTCTTGCTTTGCCTCATTGACTGGTGAGGGCAGACAAATGCAGACAAATGCATGACAAAAGAACATCGCCTCATGTGTTACATTGCAGTCGATGTCGAGAGGTAGAGGAAACAAAGCTACACAGAACAGTAGCAGTCCTGCATCCTCTCAATGGCAAGGGAGGCAAACCAGGGAAGGGTGTCCAGCATTTGGTAGAAAGGTTTGCTTTTCAACTAGTGATAATCACTGCCTTATAATACCTTAGCTATGTCCTTCAAAGTCCCAGTTCTAATCTTAATTGATGGGGTAAGGCTTTGGAGATTTAGGCCAAGTCTGTTCTTCGATATGTCCAGAACATGGCCAGTCTAATT